TCGGGCTCCCTGCTCGGCGGGGAGTCTGCCTCTCCCTCTGACCCTCCCCCTCTCATGCTCTCTCTCTATCACTGTCTCTCTCAATAAATAAATAAAAATCTTAAATAAAAAAAAAAAAGAAGAAACAAAGTCCGTGGTTTAGAACCCAGTATGGATACAGGTGTCACTTTTATAATTTAAAATTTATAATTTAAAATTTTATCCCCCCATGTAAGATAGTTTTTTTTTTTTTTTTTTCAGCAGTTTGATTAAAAGCTCTTCCTTTGAATCCCCCCTTCTCTCAAAGGATCGAAACATGATTCTGGGCAAGCATGGGTTCTTTGTGAACCCTTCAGACTCCGTGGCTGTCATTGCTGCCAACATCTTCAGCATTCCGTATTTCCAGCAAACCGGGGTCCGAGGCTTTGCCCGCAGCATGCCCACGAGTGGGGCCCTGGACCGGTAGGTCTCCATTCCCTTGGCCCTCACTAGGCTCTTCACCCCTTGCAGCTAGGACATCTGAGGCATAATATGTGCTTTTTATTTTATTAAGCATTTTTTATTGAAGTACAATTAATATACAGTGTTTTATTAGTTTCAGGCACACAACATTGATTCGGCAATTCTGTGTATTACTCAGTGCTCACCACAATAAGTGGAGTCCCCATCCGTCACCATACAGTGTTATTGCAATGTTACCGAATGTGGTCCCTACGCTGTGCTTTTCATCTCTGAGACGTGTACCTCTTAATCCCCATCACCTGTTTCACCATCCCCTCATCCACCTCCCCTCTGGCAACCACCAGCTTGTTCTCTGTATGTAAGAGTAGGTTTGTTGGTTTTTTTGTTTTTTCTGTTCCACATATAAGTGTTTATTTTATGAAGGAATGAGTGGGTTTTTTCTGGATTAGATGTTCCCTCTCTGTGCTTCCTTACAACCGTGTGCTTCTTCCATTCCAGCACTTACCACCTGGTTCCGATAGCTTGTTTGCTTACCTTTCTGCCCTGCTAGACTACAAACTTCTACAGAGAAAAGACTATCTTATTCACTAAAGTATATACCATGGTATGCCTGGCACATAGTAGGACACACACACATACACACATACACCCCTTTAAAAAAGGAATGACTGAATGTTACTGAAGAAATGAATGGATGGCAGCCCCACAGTACTGAAGACATCACTCTGGAGAACCATCCCTGTCCTTTAGCAGGTGTGCACAGAGTTTGAGTGAAAGAGCAGTTTGAAGGAAGATCAGTATGTCAAAGAACTTCCAAGTCCATCCCTCGCTGGGTGCCCATCCATACACAAACACAGTAAATGTTCATTTATCCAAAATCCAAATAAACAGAAAGCTCAAATAGTTAAGGAAAATTATATTCAGTTTTTATGAGAAAGGACCCAGTGACAATAAACACTTGGTATCTCAGATTTGCTTATTTGTTTATTTATTTATTATATATCCCCTCATTTACAAAGGCTTTAAGGTGGCTTGTGTGACCACATCTGAAACAATTAAAAAATATAAGTAATACATAGTAAATGGGGACTAGGGAGAATGTTAATTAGAACATATTAGGTGCCCAGTAAATGTTTGCTGAATGAATGGATAAGGAATGAGTGAATAAATAAAAGGTCAAGGTCAGAGAAGAAAGCAGAATGGATATATCTAGGTTCTCTAGTAATAACTGATGTTTATTGAACATTGCCTTGTGCTAGACATGAAGTACTCTGTTTTAAGTCATTTAATTCTCAAACCAACCTCATGAGGTCAGTGCTATCTATAACCCCACTTTACAGGTGGGAAAACGAAAGGACAAAGAAGTAATGTAGTTTCCCCAAGGTCACCCAGCTAGTAAATGGCTGAGTCAGAATTTGAACCCAGAACCATTGCTCCTTAATTGGGCCCAACTGGGCCATGTAGTAGTTTCCTACCGTGGGGGAGAGAAGGGGGAGGAGTATGTGTTAACTCAATTAGTGCTAACTTCCCTTCAGCTAAGAAGAAGTTAATATTCATAAAGTATTATGAAGATAATATTCACAGAATGGTTTATAGTCTTAATTGATCCTCACAGCAATCCTTGTCCTAAAGAAGAGGAACCCAAAGGTCAGAGAGGTTAGCCATCTTATTGAGGACCTCACAACTAAATCAGAGCTAGAATTAGAACCTGATGCTTCTGCCTCCACGCCCTGCAGCTGAAACCCTGTGAGCTGGTTTCGGCCAGGCTGTTGTAATTAGACCTAGCAGGTCCTGAAATTACTTCCGTGTCATCCAAGAGCAGTTTAATTCTAGTTTTTGGAAAAATTGATAATCCACATATAGAATCACAATAGAAATAACTCATTACCCAGGTAAAAGTTTATTGTACTCTCAGCTTTCAAGCTTATAGATTTAATTTTCTTCAGATGTTAGAATCTAAATGTGACATTGCTTTGCAGTAAGGCGAGCATTCTGGAAGGCAGAACTTATTAAAACAGTGAGTGAAATGTAGATTAGTTTTCCTTTTCAGAGGGAAAGTGATCTTAAAAAAAAAAGTCATTTAAAGGTTCTAGTCTACAGATATATAGGAAGGAGTAAAAGACGTGTTGGAGGGGACAGGGGACCAAGGAGCCGTGTGAGGAAGTTGGTACAAATGGGAGACCCCCTGGACACTGTCCTTTCTGGGCCTTCTGGTGAAATGAAAGGAGCATTGACCGAGCAGCTGAATAGCAGGCTATTGGTCATCCTGGCTCTGGGACCTGAGGTTGGTCACATAACATCCTAGACCCTGTTTCCTTTTCTGTAAAATGGTGGCCTTCTAGACCCAATATTCTATGATTCTGTGATGTGAAGTGCATCAAAACATCATTCTTTTGTTCTTGATGGAATGCTGATAGAGGCAGTCTGTATCCAAAACACATTGGGTTTAAATAGCCTCAAAAATAGCCTTGCACATTTTGCTACTGTTGTTCCTTCTAAGATATTAAACTCAGTGACCTGAATTAATTCTTCCTTCTTCCTCTTTTACCCCGCGTTCTGACTCCACGTATAATAGCCCATTGTGCACAAGTTTTCTCCTACGATTTTCCACCCATCTTAGAATTATGTGTACCTCTGAGCAGTGCTAAATGGGACCCTTGATTACAATAACGGTTGCTAGTTTCCCTCCCTCACGTGGCTAAGCTAACAGTCCTGCTGTGATGTAACTTTGATTTCATGCCTTTGAAGGGTGGCTCATGCTACAAAGATCGCTTTGTACGAGACCCCAACTGGCTGGAAGTTTTTCGGGAATTTGATGGATGCAAGCAGACTGTCCCTTTGTGGGGAGGAGAGCTTCGGGACTGGTAAGTGCGTGGGCCCCGTGCTACCGTTTCCTTTCCTGTAAACACGACTTGCGGAACGCTCTGACTGCTAAGGCAGGACTGAAATAGCACCAGTGGCCGATGTGTCCTAAATCAAGATGCAGTTTATTTATAACAACCCTGATGAAGTGTACACATTTGAAAAGCCGTGAGCGTGCTTAGCCGGGGAGGGCTAAATTTACTTCCAGAGGATCACATCCACAGAGACAGGAAGTTTGGGAGCCCCCTCGGGCGGCACGGTCACTGAGTCTGTAGAGATTAAACAGAGTGATAAACATGTGTTTCTTCCCTCCGTGGCCAAGGAAACTTTTATAAATGTTTTCCTTTCTGGGAAGAAATATGGTGGAGCGAGTCAGTTTTTCATTTTTATTTAAAAGGAGGTTGCAGCACAGCATTAAATCTTTCTCTTTAACAGGCCCAAGTTTGCTGTAGCAACAAGTTATGATTCATTAAGGTTAAATGAAAGGAGGCCATTAGGGTGGAGGGAAGTTGCTAGGTGATCAAGAAATTAAAAATATGTCCTTGGGGCACCTGGGTAGCTCAGTCGTTGGGCATCTGCCTTCGGCTCAGGTTATGATCCTAGGGTCTAGAGATTGAGCCCTGCATCGGCCTCCCTGCTCAATGGGGAGTCTGTGTTTGCCTCTCCCACTCCCCCTGCTTGTGCTCTCTATTTCTCTGTCAAATAAATAAATAAAATCATTAAAAAAAAAACCTGAGAAAATGAAAACACAAAATTTAATCATATGTTCATATTATTTTCCCAGATAATAACTTGATCAGACCTTGTGCACTTAGAGAAACATACTTTTTTCCCTCCCCGTTTCGCTTATGTTTTCAAGGATTTGGTGCATCTCCATTCCCACATTTCCCTAACTTCAAGGGAATGACCAAGCTGTTGATCATTCAGGCATGTTTGTAGGTATCTACTCTTCTAGAGCTGAATGCTGTTTTGCTAAATCCTTGGTGGGCAATGAATAAATCTGTTCTGTTTGGCGACTTTCTTCCTTCCAACTGGAATGGCACATGGGAGGTAAAAAATGACTTGGGTATCAAAATGATGGTGATGTAAGGAAACCAGAGGTAACTGAGATCCCTCTCTTCCATTTTAAGATTGACCTTTAGCTTGCTAGATGGCATGGGACAACTGTAGCAGCAGACGGCCTTCTCAGCAGCGAGTGCCCAGAGAGGCTCTGCGTTAAGGGGTGTCGGGAGCAGTGGGAGCTACACCAGGGTGTCCTGTTCACGATGAGCCTGCTTTTGGGGACCGCACTTGCTCCATCTTTGCCTGGGCTCTGCGAGGGGAGTCTGACAGCCAGCTGGTGTTTGTGACTGAAGGCTGCCAGAATCCTTTGGAGCGATCTAACGGGGGAGATGAGGCAAAAATAATTGAAGGGTATTTGGCGTGGTTATGTGGGCAGAAGTGTCCTCACCAAAACAGCTTGGAAGATGTGCTTTGTGTGTGGGTGTGGGCGGGCGTGTGGCCCTTCGCTTTTCACCAGGGGTGACGACAGCAAGGACTTAACCCAGCTTCCTCGTTGAGAGTGACCGACCTCTGTTTTAGTTACTCAGATGACACTGTTGCAGCTTCAGTTCGGACAGACTATTTTGAGGACCCTTGCCTGCTCTCCGGAACCCCTTGCTGAGCCAAGTGGTGAAAATGAAAGATGAGTGATTTTGATGAATGGATTTCTGGGAAATATAGAAAAATGGAAGAAGGTCCTCTTCCTCTGTTGACCTGTGCTACTGCTCCTTACTATGACCAAAAGCCGGGAACTAGTGGATTACGGAAGAAAACCTATTGTTTTGAGGCGAAGCCATGTTATCTGGAGAATTTCATCCAGAGTCTGTTCTTTTCCATAGACCTTAAAGATCGCCAGGGAGCCTCACTGGTGGTTGGTGGAGATGGGCGGTATTTTAATAAATCGGCGATAGAAACACTAGTGCAGATGGCGGCTGCCAATGGGGTTGGTATACGATAATTATTGTTATGTTTCTGGCTCTCCATATATGTTTCTTTCTTCACTTTGCAGAAATATACAAAAGTACAAAGATTTGTATGCTGTGTACACCTGCTACTAACATCCAGTTAGTGTTTCATTGTGACTTCAGAGAACGTATATTGTGATATGACTCCTGAGATTACATTAGTCACATTGGGATATAGGAATGTGAGTTCGGCTCCTTAAGTGTTGTACTCTGTGCCTTTTGCTTGAAAAAATACCTGTTGCTTTTTAGACATTTAAAGCACACCCCCAGCCTTAAGCGGTCTTATCTACATTCTAACCTAGTTCCAAGGGGTACCCTCTCCTATGTAAGAAGGCTCTAATGAGTAGTGGAGAGAGGAGGATTTTGTTTTCTTTCAATGGCTTCCTTGTTGAAGTTCAGTCACTTGTCAAACAGGAAAACAAAAGCCAGGGCATGCTGTTGTTTGTGGATCCTGGTAGTCATGCAGAAATGCCAGGAGGGGATTGGAAAATGTTAGGTATAAGCCTACCAAGAGGACCTGTTACAGGGGAACCTGCTTATAATGACCTTGGACACAAAGAAGCCCTGTGTGCGGTGAATTTGTGCAGCAGGGTAGAGTTAATAACTCCTGTAAGACTATAATATAAGGAGGCTCTGCTAAGAGCTCTGCATTGTGAAAAACTGCATTGGCTGAATTAACCAAATCAGAAGGAATCTTGCACCAGAAGGCATTGATCTTGATAATCTAACAATTTGCACAGTCCCACTGATTTGCAGGAAGGTGGGCATCAGGACGTTGCTGTTTTTGCTCTGCAGATTCTTCTGTGGGACCAAAAATGTATTTTTAGTGTTTTAAATTATACTTAGCAGTAATTTGGAGCACACAGTCTCTCAGAACTCATAAATTTTAAAAATCTGTTGTATTTCCTTTCTGGGAGTGATTCTGGTTCTGAGAACATAAAAATTTAGCATGGCAACCAAATGTGTTGGGCATTCATCGTCAGTCTATTTTAATAATACACCAAGCAGGTGTGATTGCAAAACCCAAATTAAAGACAAAAACAAAAACACACCGCCACATTAAATTAAAAAATGTTTGTAGATCCTAATGTTTATAATGCGAAGTTTCCTTCCTGCCCAGTTTTGGAATCTGAATGCCTCTCATGTAAAAATTGCTGATAAAGCACTCAAATATGAAATTATTATGAAGCATACACATTTTTAAGATAAAATGTGACATGCTATAAATTTCACCTTTGAGGAGAGCTGCAAAGGGAACAGTATTAAGATGCTTTTAATCTTTAGAGAAAGAACGAAAGGAACATTATTTCTCCGCATATATCTAGATTGTTGAGTGGATCTGGTACACTGTCCCCTTAGCTGTAATATATTTGGCTTCATTTCATTTTTGTGTGGAGCTGAAGGATGTGGAAGAGGTGGTAGGAATGTGTAATTCAGGCAGACCCCATAGACTTGTTCAGATTTACGATCTGAAGGTTTGCTAAATAATACATTTAAGTGATAATAATTGACTAAATATGGTAACTGCCTATTTGTTAGAGCTGTGGCAGGCCAAGCAATATTTTGAAATCTTCTCAAGGGCGTTCTTTATTTAAAATAGTGTGGCACTACATCAAAAACTAATGATGTACTGTATGGTGACTAACATAACATAATAAAATTAAATTAACTTTAAAAAAATAGTGTTGCATTTAAAGCAGTCATGCAACCAAATTGAATTACGTCAAACATTTAGTGGACCAATAAAGCACTTTAATCTGATAGAACCTATCACCTCCTAGATGGTTTGATTCCTTCTTTTTCTAACATATCCTCAATTCTGACGCCTGTAACATCCCTTTGATTGTGGACAGAGCTCTAGGGAGGAAATGTAAAGGAAAGATAATTTATTGCCACAGATTCTGGTAGAAGTCATTGTTCCTTCCTCACCTCTGTCAATACCCACTCCACCCTTAAGCGGATTCTTGGAAGCCTCTTCAGCCTAGTGAACTAAATGAAGATCATTTCATTTTTTTTCTCTTTATTACACATTTATCTGGTGCATTTATGGACTGTAGAATATAATTTGCCTTTGTTAGAAGTTTCCCTTTGTTTTTATTTGCATAGAGCTGTCTGCATTTATAGGAAATTTTTTTTACATGATGTTTCTGTGAGCTAAGAAGTACAGGAAATTTTAACATACAAAAATAAGACATTAGTGGGGCCCCATTTGTAATACTGATATCTCATTTGGTCTCCAGAGCTTTAAACTTAGAGATATGTTTAGAAATAAGAATATGTATATATGGCCAGCAGGGCAAAGAACGTGGAACTTGTTTTTTTGTGAAACATAAGAAAACACCAGGTCCTGTTTTTTAAAAGGAAAACTAAGTTTGCTCCCTGTCGTGTTTGACGATAAAATGGCGGGTAAACAGTAAGGTATCCCTCCTTGTAGTGTGAACTGTGTTATGCACGAAGGAGTATTAGGAGGGGGAGGGAAGGACAGGAAAGGCTGTTTGATGGGGGTACTTTGAGTACCAGCTAGAGGGAGTTATCTCTAAGTTGGTAGACACTTGGGAGCCAGGGAAGGATTTTTCTTTTAAGATATATATATATATATATATTTTTTTCTTGGTAAAGTATATGTAATGTAGAACTTAGTGTGTCAGCCATTTTTAAGTACACACTTGCAGTGGTATTAATTACACTCACAATATTCTGCAACCATCACCATTATCCATTTCCAGAACTTTTTTCTCATCCCATCTGAAACTCCTTACCCACTAAACAATAACTTCCCATTTCTCCCCCACCCTCCACCCCCTGGCAACCTCTGTTCTACTTTCTGCCTATGAATTTGCCTCTTCTGTGTACCTCATTTAAATGGAATCATACAAATACTTGTCCTTATGTGTCTGCCTTATTTTACCTAGTATAATGTTTTCAAGGTTCATCCATATTGTGGCATGTATCACAATTTCATTCCTTTTTAAGGCGGAAAAATATTCCACTGTGTGTATATACCATATTTTGTTTATGCATTCATCTCTTGATGGACCTCTGGCTATTGTGA